AACAACATAAACGCCAACGTGTAAAAAGATTTTATTTAAAAAATTGATTGATTAAACGAGATTACTCCGGAAGAATTCCGATTTTGATTCCGTTTTATATTTTATTTTAGCTCTCTACGTGTGAGGTAGAAAAGGTAAACAAAAACAAAGTTTCTTTTTTTCTCTCTTTTGAAATACGCTATATAAAAAAAAACAGGCAGCTAATATTAGTACCTATTGCAAGATTGTCATATTTACATAAAAGTGCAATCAAATTCTAGAATTAACAAATAAAATTTGTTCGGTGTAGAAAAAAAAAAACCTTTACCGGGATTGCGGCTTGCCAAACTGAAAACACCATCAAATGGCATCATACTGAAGGTGTGCCTATATTGAAGTAGAAGTAGATAATAACTTTATATAAACCCTTAAGTGATTAATTGATGTCTACTCTTAAACAGTGATATCTTTAGATAGATATTTTAGATTTTAAAGTGTTGATGCAGTCTAAATTGACATTAAGCCCAATTTTATCGTCAAGAATGTAAATAATGTACAGTGATATTGGTGGAAGATATTTTTATTCATGTTGTTAAATACACTACTCGGAAGAGGTGTGCCTACATTGGCAGAAGCTATATAACAAGATACAGATTGGCAGAAAATATAAAGATACATATACATGGACCTGCTAACGCACAAATTCTTCATTAGAGAAGACATTTAAGAACTAACATGACGGTACCCAAATTGCACCTATTTTGACAGTTTTTTCACCTACGTTTTTTTATGATGCAGACAAAAGTTTCAAATCTGTGTTTATTTTGTAGATGTATACTTGTTTACTATATAGTTACACATATTTAATTTTGAATCCATATTGAATCATTGAAAAATGAGTATGAACCGACCTCCAAACGATCCAGGATTCCATTACGAGGAGTACCCAAATTGCATCGGCCAGCCGGCCATTCTTAAACTCACATCCTTAAGAATTGAATAACAGCTAGATGTTTTGTTCCATTTCTTCAAATATTTAGAACAATTTGACATTAGTCCATGCTTACTATCCATTTAATAAGAAATGATGACTTTTTGAGAACTTCGCATGACGACGATTCCGTAGATTTACTTTTTCCAGTGAAAGCTTCATCTGTTGATATTTACTGTGAACGTTTTGTGTATATTTAAATATATTCAGCTATGTTAAAAGACATGTGTAATGTCAAATCATAAAAATACTAAGTGTTTATTCTTAAAGAAAACTTGTAAGATTTCCACAGCTGATTTTGTTGAATATGTGCAATTTGTGTACTCAGTGCAATTTGGGTACTGTTACGTTATATCTGTTCTCTACAGAGCTAAGTATTTAGTGACAATCTATTTTCGTATTGGATAATGTATCTGGTCTAAAAAAAATAGTTTGCCACAAGTATTTAGTGACAATTATCTATTCCTGTATGAGATGATGTATCTGGTGTGATTTTTTTATTATTTTACCACTGAATGAATCACCAATCAAACTATATAAATAGATTGAAGTTAAAAAAAATATCTGGAAAATTAACTGAATCCTTAGACAGAATGAATAATATAATTGTAACTTTTTTGTTATGCCCAACTGCTAGTTGAAGGGGCATTAACTTTTACTGTTGTCATGATGTCCATCCATACATATGTCTGTCTGTACAGAAATTGGTTTCCATTTTCTTACTTTATTTGCACTCAATTATTTTTTTCACAGAACACAGATCAATTTATTCGAATTTGAGTGGCATCACTTTGACCGTTCGTGAGTTATGCCCCTTTATTAACGCAAAAATTGCTGAATCTTTCTTTTCTTGTCTCTAACTTTAGTTTGTCCCAACAAATGTTATAAAACTTATACACTACTTAATACCACAAAACACAGATCAAGTTTGAATTTGACACCCGTCACTGTAACCGTTCTTGAGTTACATGTATTTATGCTCCTTTATTATTAAATGGAAAAAATTGCCAAATCTGTGGTGGATCCGACAAACTGTTGTATACCGATTTTATTTATTTAGATATGATTTACAAACTTCAGAAAAGGTTGAGAAGCATTTTAATTCTAGGGAATTCCAACCTGAAGCAAGTTGTACCAATGGAATTGATGGAAGCCCCCATTAGAACACTGTGCATAACTGGGGTTGCAACTTCACCATCTCATACAGCATCTAGTTCATCAAAGATGACCTATGCTGAAGTGGTGAGACTTCCTGTGCATGCAACAGGTCAGACCAAACTAAAACCACGTTTGATATTAAGGTATGAAAATAATGTCTAATATTATAAGAATGAATGGAAAATATGCCGGAGGAATGTCTGTCACTTTTTGTTTTTATACACCCTACAAACAAAGTTTTGGGAGATACATAAACAAAAATATTATATTTCTCCTATTTCTTAAGAATTATATATATATAAACAGTCACATATTTAAACGGTCGTGTCGTCTGATTTTTTAAACAGAATTTTCAGATTTACTTTACATTTAATGAACAGCATACATGTAGATGTACTCGAACTTAAGTTATACACTGCATGAGAAAGGGTCCCGGTATTTTGATTGCAGGATTTGAAAAAGTTATGCGATACTTATTTATAATAGTCTATATGTTGGAAAGTCATGCACGCTTAAAATTCTTTTATGAGAGTGACACATTGTTCATTTTCTAAAATAAAACAGGATACACTGTAGATACAAGACAAAATGTATACTGTACTGAACAAATCAAGCGTAAGAAAATAAATCATGTAGACAAATGAAATATACTTGGAAATTGCCCGAATAATATTGCCTCTACAGCTGCCCCAAAGAGCCCATTCTTAACGAAATTTGCAGAAAGGGTCTTTTACATATATGTACTATAGTTTAGTTACTATCTCCCTTTACGTTTAATATGACGGTGCTGGCTGTGAAATTTAATAATAATTAAACTACAAGCCATCTGCTGTACTGTGGATTCACTTATTTTCGTGGGTACCAATTTTCGTGGATTGCGGAAAAACTTGCATTTTCGTGGATATTTGATTTCGTGGTTTTGCAAAAGTCTTCATAAACCCTTATTGAAAATATGTTATTCGTTGAACATTTAATTTCGTGGTTTACCTGTACCCACGAAATCCACGGAAATTGGTATCCAACGAATAATAATGAATCCACAGTATTTCAAAAGGCTATCTGTTTCTTCAGAAAATAACCATACTTTGTGCAGAGATTACATTTTTGTAACATAAAGAATCAACAATACTGTTATACAATTCTATAAGGAATCATCATTCAAAAATGTTAAAGAGGTACACCAAAAAATTAAGAAAGTTTTCCCCATTTTCAAGCAACTCGACTTTTAACTTAATTGCAATAAAGATTTATAATAAATATAAAAATAGCAGTGCTGGATGGGGGATTTCCTTGTGTGAGTTGACTCAAAGTGCTAGTTTATTCAGGTTACACACATTTTATATTTGTAAATGCAGTTTTTATGTGAAGTGTACATATCACAAAAATAAAAGCTAATATTTTAAAAAATATCATATTTTTTGTTATTGGTTAATAAAGTTATTTTATTTTTAATTTTGATAACAGTGTATGGAAATGAAGAAATCAATTGGAGTCCCTACATTCAAAAGGAGGAGTGTGTCTTCAGTTGAGATTGGTAGAAAAAAAGAAAAAACAGTTAGCATATTATTTTGAATAGTATGACTACAAATGGCCATTTATAATAGTATATATATATATATATATATAGTCATTAATAATATTATACCATAAATGATGGCCGGAGAACATAGCAGAACATCAGATAGTATTTTGTACATTTAATGTTTTTTTTTATTTGGCTGATAAATCCAACATTGACATGAATGAAATCAAAATTTTCTTTTCGATTTATACCAGGTACATGCATGATAAATGTTATATACATTTTCCAAAATAAAGTGTTTATAAAATCTATGATGGAAAATAAATGCTGTATTTTTTATTCATAAATATCAAATGTTAAATAATTAATCCCCAAAAAATAAAACTTAAAATTCTTAATTCTTAATGTAGTCTCACAGATGAAGAAGTGGCACTTATGAAACAGGGTTGGTCATTGTTGCATTACTCTTTATTTGTTTATCTTTTGTTTTGCTCCACTATGCATTATTTTATTTGTTAACAATTTTACAAAGGGCTTCTGCAGAAAAAAAATACAAAGGTGTTTGAGTTGGAACTACATATTTATTTTAAGATACCTACATAAGAATGATAATTATTTTGCCATTAAACCTTAAAATGTGTATTTCTGAACCCGTTTGTACTTTTTCCTGGTAAATCTCTTACAAGAATGCATGGTGTTATTGTTTTGAACATCTAGAAACATGGCCCTATTACACATGATACATCTTCTTTCAAGAGGAATTAAATGATATTTAGATAAGATAGATATGCAAGTTACATGTAAAAAGTAAAGTAACAAAAATACTGAACTCCGAGGAAAAATCAAAATGTAAAGTCTGTTATCAAATGGCAAAATCAAAAGCTCAAATACATGAAGTGAATCAGAAAACAACTGTCATATTCCTGACTTGGTACAGGCATTTTTTATGAAGGAAATCATGGATTTAACCTGGTTTTATAGCTTTTTTTAGTAAAACCGTATTTAAAGAATAATAAGATCGTTAGAAACAAGGCAATTGACCTAATCATCATGCACAAAAGTAACTGCACGGTATTATGCTTTGGTCACTATAATGCATGGAGAGATTATGAATTGTGTCTATTTGATACAGCACTGATACAAAAAAAAACTAAAAAGAGATAATGAATGGCCATTGATATAATTTTGAAGTGGACTCACTTACACATGAGCTGAAAAAATTAAAACCTACCAACAATATTACTTTATGATTGTACAACTACTGAAATCCCTTTTCTTTTAGTTTAAGACTGTTTAATTTTTAGTTACTTTCATTTCATATTTAATATAGTGCATTTTTAATAGATACAGGGTAAAGACTAGTGATCTAGTATTTGGGGTCACAGAGGATGTGGCTGTAGTCCTACCAAACAAAGCTTTACTGGAACATAGTTTTTATCAGGTATTGTTGTATATATGTAAGACTCAGATCGACGTCCAGTCTCTAATTGATGTCCGTTCCTCAAATCGACGTCCAAATCTGACGTCACAATAAAATAACATTCCAAATCGACGACCAATTTTATGTCCCTCTAATCGACGTCTTTTTTGTTGTTCTCAAATCCACGTCAATTTTTTGGCTTCTCTAATTGACGTCCGTTTTATGGACATGTCGCAGTGAAATCTCATCTTTATCAAAGGTGGGTTGAACCTATAACTCAAAACGGTTGTTGAAAAATATAACCAAATTATAATACTTTTCAACAATTTGCCGTACGTTTTTATTCTTTCTATTGTTTGAGTCTGTATAGATGTACTGCCCTCTAGATATCTTTTGATTATCTTTGTCTTTGGGTTGTTGTCTCATTGTCGTACAATGTATACCCACATGTATTTGTTTATATGAACAATAAAAGAAAACGACAACGTAGGTCAAGAATATGAAGGTCTTTCACCAAAATATTATTATGCATGTACATGTAAAGTAATAATGATGTCTGTGATCGTCTTATTGTCATTTTCTGATGTTACATTTGTCCTTTTATTAGCTCACCTAGCCCGAAGGACCAAGTGAGCTTTTCTCATCACTTGGCGTCTGTCGTCGTCGTTAACTTTTTTCATTTTGAACTTCTTCTAGAGAACCACAGAATGGAATGAAACCAAACATGGCATGAATGTTTCTTATGAGGTGCTGACCAAGTGTTGTTACTTTGAAGCCGATCCATCATCCAAGATGGCCGCAGCGGGGGACTTAGTTTAACATAGGACCCTATGGGAAATACATACAAATGTCTTCTTTTAGAGAACCACTGAATGGAATGAAACCAAACATGGCATGAATGTTCCTTATGATGTGCTGACCAAGTGTTGCTACTTTGAAGCCGATCCATAATCCAAGATGGCCACCTGCTGGGGACTTAGTTTAACATAGGACCCTATGGGAAATATTTACAAATGTCTTCTTTTAGAGAACCACTGAATGGAATGAAACCAAACATGGCTTGAATGTTCCTTATGAGGTGCTGACCAAGTGTTGATCCATCATCCAAGATGGCCGCCAGCGGGGGACTTAGTTTAACATTGGACCCTATGGGAAATACATACAAATGTCTTCTTTTAAAGAACCACTTCTTTTAGAGAACCACTGAATGGAATGAAACCAAACATGGCATGAATGTTCCTTATGAAGTGCTGACCAAGTGTTGTTACTTTGAAGCCGATCCATGATCCAAGATGGCCACCAGCTGGGAACAGTGTTTAACAAAGGACCCTATGGACAATACATACAAATGTCTTCTTTTAGAGAACCACTGAATGGATTGAAACCAAACATGGCATGAATGTTCCTTATGAGGTGCCGACTAAGTGTTGTTACTTTGAAGTTGATCCTTCATCCACGATGGCCGCCAGCGGGGGGACTTCCTTTGACATAAGACCCTATTGGAAATACATACAAAATTGCTTCTTCTAGAGGTGCACTGAATGGAATGAAACCAAACATGGCATAAATGTTTCTTATGAGGTGCTGATGAAGTGTTGCTACTTTGTTGCTGATTTACTGTTCAAGATGGCCACCAGGATTTTTTATTAAATTACAGGGCTAATATTAAACCAAATTTGGCCTCACTCATTATTAGGGTATCTGTTATGATTTTAATCTATTTTAACATGATTTCCAAAAACAAAGTAGAATCAGGTGAGCGAAACAGGCTCTTGAGAGCTTCTAGTTTTGATACCAATAAAAGAAAACAGTAATTGTTTCGGTAAGCTACTAGTTTTTGATGAAGGTAAATCAAGAAAAGTGCTTCGTACGCATTAAATTTATAACGTGTTGTTTTCATTTATTTTCACAAAAAGACAAAAAGATACAGATAATATAAACAAAGATCAATTTGAAAATAAATAATTCAATGAAATTTATAGACATTGCGATGAGAGGAGACTCTCATCGATCAGACGTCGTTTTTGTGATTCATAACGTCACATTGGACGTCAATTAGAGGGTTAAAATATTGGACACTGATTTTAGAACGTGACGTCAAATTTGGACGTCGATTAGAGACCGGACGTCAATCTGAGTCTAACATATATTTAATGACTTGTGCTGATATATATAAATATATATATTGAACTGCATAAATATATCAGATCTCTGCATTTCCATCCATTAATAGTGTTACTTCAAAACCAAAAGACAAAATCATATAAAGAATATATTTGGACTACATTACAATGTATCTTGAATGCATTTATTTAACTATAATGTAATATTAACTTCAGGTTTGATAATATTAAAATGTTCTTCAGCATCAATTATCATAGTTTGCTCATAAACTATTGTCTTAATGCTGAAAAATCTGATTTATAGTAATAGATTGTTTTAACTTAATATAGACTCACATAAAAAAGCAACTGCTTGAACCCATATCAATGCAGCCTACGAAGAAAATGTGTGTGATGAAGAAAGAAGAAAAGGTACACATTTTATTTATTTTAAACATTTCTGCCCAATTCATAATGCAAAGCATTACATATTAAAGTATGTTATTTTTTTAGTTCAGAGTTCTTGTTTAATGCTATTCTTGGTATATATTTCCACTTTCACCGAATTAAGCCATCGTAGTATGAAACTTTTTTGTATTCAGAGATGTGTGTTAATATTTCCACTTTCACTGAAGCCATCGTAGTAGGAAACTTTTTTGTGTTCAGAGATATGGGATATATGCAATAGTTGATCATTTAATTAAATTCATGGTGATTATTGTTGCAGAGCACCTTTAATTGTCCTGTTTGTCCAGTGATGTGCTTAAAAGAAGACTTTTTGATAGATCATGTTATTTTGGCCATACTAAAAAAATAAAAAAAGGTTTGATTGATAATGTCATATATTACATGAAACTACAGCCTTCATTCAAACACTCGGCATCTTCCCAAAACAAAAATGAAACATTTGATAGATTAGCGATTCAAAGAACTCAAGGACTCAAGGACGTTGAACCGAAAAACAACTCATAACCAATAACTATCACGTAAGAAAATGCTTGTAAATATTTAAAAAGTGTGTACATGACATTTGAAAAAAAGAAAGCGTGTATTACACAATTGAATAGGTAACTATGGATACATGTACTTTTTATCATATAACCAATTGGAATGTTACACCATCATTTCCCAGTCAATCATATTCATGCAATTTTTTATTCACTCCTTGTAGTGTAATTCAAGAAATATCTCTTAATGTGAGAAATAGACAACATGCTATAAACATGAGAAAATAGATTTAATTTTCTAAGGCTTGACACATTTATAAAATGATCAACATAGAATAAAGAATGGAAACGGGTAATGTGTCAAAGAGACAACAACTCAACCAAAGAGTAGAAAACAGCCCAAGGCCACCAATGGGTCTTTAATGTGCACTATTATATGATTGTTATAAGCAAAAAATAAATAAGAATTTATGTTCTTATGCCTTCATTTATTTTGTAGGCAGAATTCAGACAGACAGAGATTCGTCATTTCAGGTTAGTTATATACATTCAGAATACATCACACCATTTGACAATATGGTAAATTACTTAAAGGATGTTTTCTACTCAGTTTCAAAATATCAAGCTTTTCAGAACAGTGGTAAATATTGATAGGAGATTAATAAACTCACTCACTCACTCACTCACAACTAAAAGAGCTAAAATACTTAAAGGACTGTGTTGTTTATGCTTGTTTTTGAGATATAAGCTATTGAAAATTTTCAGGGAAAAATTCTCTCTTGAATTATGATATCTTTATCATTGACAAATCTTACTTCACAAACACTATTACAAAATGCTAGGATGCTAAAATTACAAGAATTTGATAAGATTTTTACAAATGGCTTCTCTCCGGCATAATAAAGATTTATGAAAAGAAAAATGAGTGAAGTGGCAAAAATAAATTTTGGTTTTCAAATGGACAGAACTAGAGGAATTCCAAAATCTGACAATAATTTAAAAACCTGACTAGCAAACATCTTTAATTAATATGGATTTAATTCTGCTGTATGGTGTTATTTATATTTGAACTTGAGGAAGATTTATATACACTAGAAAACAGGTGTTCAAATTGGTGTTGGTCCGAGGTCCATGACCTTCCATTTACTGGTTTGGACCTTCCCACCGGTAGTTAGTTACACCCGATGTACTTTAATATATTTGCAGTTTAAAAAAATTACAAAAACATATTGAGCAAAAATATGAAAATTTAGTATTAAAATGATCTTAATATATGCAACTATACTGAAAGGGAACTTATGTGGTTACTTACATTCTTTACCCTCGTGACGGGTTGACCTTTAAGTATAATTGGTCAAAGGTCAGGCTGGACCTTCCTTTGCCTAAAGTGAATTTGAACCCGTGGAATAAAAGGACATACAGGTATCAACAAGCATTTAATTCTTTTTTTATGCCCGCCGTAGTGGAGGGGTCATTAAGTTTTACCCTTGTCCGTTGGTACGTCCCAAAGTTAATTGGCTTCTGTTCTCTAACTTTAGTTTGCCTCAACCAAATGGTTCACTTTTACCGTTCTTCAGTTATGTCCCTTTATAACTTTATATGATGTGCAAGCGGGGGCATCATCTGTGTCCATCTGTGTCCCATGGACACATTCCCCATTTATTTTTAAATACATCATATATGTAGTGTGAGTGGTCAATTTCAATATAATTTGCTTTTTCTTTTTATTAGATACCAAATAAAGAAAATGCTGTTGAGGAACAGGGGAGTTTCTGTGATGAGAATGATACACAAAGAGCATTTGGTAGTGTATAATAGATGATATTTGTTTTTAATTGGATACAGTAAATAACAATATTTTTGTATACATTATTGTCACCATTTTCAATCTGACAACAGACTTGAATTTTAAATTAAGTTTAAAGAGGCATTACATGTATTTACATTTGCACAAACAAATATGTTGATAGGTTTGATTTCTTTCAAGAAAAATGCTATTTCTGCATATACTGCCTCTTTAAAAGTCTTACTTTTGAATATAGTTTATGTATAAATATATAAAAAAATCTTAAACATGGTGATTTGTGTTTGTAAAAAGTTCTTTTTATATTATATAAATTATTGCAGTTAATCATTCACTATTAATGTACTTTTAACATGTTTAAGCAATCTTTAGTTGTTGAAATTGTATTTTTTTCAAGATTTTTACCGTTTTTCATTTATCTGACTAAGTCAATCAAGTTAAAGAGTGTGTATATAATGCAACTGAAAACTCTTTATCTCTGTTCTGTATCTAATAATATAAATATATATCTATGTGTATATTGTTTCAGAGTGTAATGAAGTTGAGAGTAGTATTTTAACCAAAAGAACATCTGCCTTAACAACAGTGAAGGTTTTAGCGAGCAGGTGTTAATTGGTGATGTTGAAAGAAATCCAGGACCTACAATGGTATCAATCACCCCAAAAAAATGCTATGTTTGAGACTGAAATTTATTTAGGATTATTTGATCTGAAAAAAATACTTTTAATTTGAGACATATAAACTTAACTCATTGGCACTCATACCACAACTTCTTATATCTATTAACAACTTCATTAAAACCCATTTAATAATTCAGGCGTATTGGATAATGTTTAAATTCATCTTTACCATAATTTTCATGGAAATTTTATGTTTTATTGACCAATGGAAAATCTGGTTAGTACTCTGGTGAAGTAAGGCAGACTGGACATGCTGCTACAAACAGTTTCCATGGGATTAATTAAACATTTGATCAATTCAGAAATTGAATTATTTAAAGACCTGAACAAAAAATCAACTTTTACTGTCTTCTCAAATTATTTTTTTTTTTAGTTTTTTTTCCCTTTAATTTCAAAATAAGAAGAGACCTTACTGGTACAGTTTTAATTTTCCAGATCCAAAATAAAAAAAAATAAATAATTCTGATATAATTGTTACACTGTACTGTATGCTAATTCTATTGAAGATTATTGTTTAAAACCTCCTGCCATGATATAATCTTGTACTTTATCCATCTTATTATACACCCCACAAAGTTTTTGAGGTGATTAAATAATAGGTATCACCCTGTCTGTCTATCCGCCCATAAAAACAAAACAAATTGTCCTATCAAATCAATGTAATTATCTGCCCTTGATTTTAATAGTTTTTTTTTCTAAAAAATTTAGATACGCTTAATCACACTTAATTTTTTGATAGTTTGATCTACCTTTCAAGCTAAAGATGTTCCAGTCGTATAATGAATTATACTTGATAAAATATTTTTAAACCAAAAAAGGTATTTTTTGCAACATGTCCAAACTGGAAGATCAGAAACAAAGACACCATTCCAAATTGAGTTTAATATATCAAAAGAAAAGCCAGGTCATCTTGTGGAAATGTGATCAAAACAGTTTAAACTTATTTTTTTTCATTTAGAATGAATGTTTATTTCTATAATTGAACCAGATTTTGTGAATTTTACATGAAAGCCATTTCATTTTAGGTTTATCAAGACTAATCTTAGTGCTTGCCATACAAGTGTCAAAGAGTGAAGGGCAAGAACAATTTTAAAGAACAGAGAAGACTTGTTTTATTGCACTTAGTTTTGAGTTTTTGTTTTATATTTTACCACTATGATAGAGTAATGTAACATTCAGGAAATGTATTGTTCTGATATATCTGTTTTATAATTTCTCCTTTTCATATGCCCGTTTACGGGACGTATTATGGTATACCATTGACCGTCTGTCCGTCCGTCCGTCCGTAGTCAACATGTCGGACAGTAACTCAAAAATGCTTTAACCAATATGCATGAAACTTTGGTGAATTGTTTATATCTATTCACGTGAGCTCCCTTTCATTTTTTATAAATTTTGGATTTACCGTTTCCGAGTTTTGTGGGTTTTATTCATTAAAAAAGGGGGAATTTTCCAGTTTTTGGACAATAACTCAAAAACAATTTCACCAATTTGCAAGAAACTTTGGTGAATTGTTTATTTCTATCGACATGAGCTCCCTTTTGATTTTTATAAATTTTAGACTAGACGTTTCTGATTTATGGGGTTTTATTCATTACAAAAAGGGGGATTTTCCAGTTTTCTGACAATAACTCAAAAATGCTTTCAGCATTTTTTATGAATCTTTGGTAAATTGTTTATATCTATTGTTGTAAGCTCCCTTTTGATTATTATAAATTTAAGATTTTACGTTTCCAAGTTATAAGATTTTATTCATAAAAAAGGGGTGATTTTCAAGTTTTTGGACAATATCCTTAAACTGCTTATAGCAGTTTTCATTAAACTTTGATGACTGATTTATATCTATTAAGATAACCTCCCTTTAGGTTTTTATAAATTTCTGATATAACATTGAGAAGTTATTGTTTGTTTATAGTCTGACAAAAGATTTACTAAGTATTGCTCAACAGCACAGTGTATTGCACAACAGCAAGAAATCTTTAATTGAATATAAATTTAATTCATATAACCAATTTCAAGTTCTTTGACTACATTTATTCAGAAACCTATAATATGTCAAATATTTAATTACAATCCAAATTCAGACCTGTATCAAGCTTGAATATTGTGTCTATTTTTGCCCCAGCTGTTCAGGGTTGGACCTCTGCGGGCGTATCCAGCTGCGCTCAGCGAAGCAGTTTATTAGAAATGTGTTAGATGTTTTTTTATACCTTTTCCTACTTGAGTACCATTGACAACTACTTTCTTTAATTTTTTTATTTCCTAATATTAAGATGTCATTCTTGAATACCTAATATTTTGTAGGTATGAACTGGTTTTTTTTCTTCTTGATATGTGTAGTATAAATCCCCCCCCCCCGCCCCAATTATGTTTAGTTTTGAAAAAAATATATATACCATAAGGACTGTCCACTATGGATGCCTCTCTAAATAAAGATAAGAGAATCTTGGCATACATTAAATACAAATTTCTAAAAAAAAAATTATGAAGACTCCATACAAAAAAACTTTGGAAAGTGTCACACCAGTGATTCTTTTTGTATAATTCAGGTTAGTTCTAAATCTCATTTTTCATTGGGGATTTTCTTCATTGTATAGAGGATGCATTTATCATCTAGTTTAATATACCTCACAATGTGATTTTTAAATGTTGTAAATACAGAAAAACATACATAATGATTATGATATGCTAATATTTCATTATTGCAAATAATTTTACTTTAAATACTTCATTATTACAAATAATTTTACTTTAAATTATGATGAATATTTAAACTGGAATTGACTATTCACATTTTATGCTCGTTGATTGTTGACATTATGTGTTGAAAAACAGAAAGAAGTCAAAGGACTAAGAGTTACAAGACAGAAAGTCAAAAAATCACAATTTATTAATTTACAATTATTTAAATGTATAAAAGGAAATGCATTAAATATTGTCTCTTTCTAAGATAAATTGCTTGTGCATTATTAATTTTTGAAAATGGTAAATTTGTTAATAATGTGTTTGGTCTATAAATTATAAAAGATTAAAATGTCAATTGAATTAGTCTTCCTATTAAAAAAAAAATCTCTCAAAACCACATAGTGACCTCTTGCTCTATACTTTTTAATTGGTTACTTTTTTGTCTATTTTGTTTTATACCATAATATTATGCATGATAAATATAATTTGTGCTTTATGCATGTCACTAATGTATAGATAATTTTCTTTAAATGTTGTGTAAACTTTATTTAGGTATTTATGGTAATGTATTCATTTACCTATATACAAATTTAGAAAAATTAAAAGTTTTATAATAAAGAACCAAACTAATTAAACATTTTTTGATTGATTTTTTATCCAATATGTATATTAAAAGGAAAGCTGTTCCAATAATAGATATGGCGTTTAAATATAACTTGCATGATATAGAAAATAAAACTGCAAAAGATAGAAAACAAGAGAGAAAATTGCTTCAAGAGGGTTGTACTGTCATATTCAAATTCACATTTCCTGTTTACAGAAGGAATGCAATATAAAGCCTGCATTGGACTTAGTATTGTAGCTAAGCATGTTTGAAATGATTTTTTATTAAATGATGACTACTATTTTAACTAAGTAAAACTAGATCAGGGTACAATCTGTGTGAATTATGTGGGTTTCTTAGAGAGGGTCTACATGTATACATGTATGTATTGTCAGTGATTCTTAGATATTCTCAGTATGTTATGTCTAGTTCCAAGATCTAGTCTGAATGTATTTTTCCAATATTCAAACATGCAGCGTGTATGCTGTTTCTGTGGTTCTTAGATACAGTCTATGCAATATGTAATGGTTTTAAATTATGATACATGGCTTTATCATGTTACAGGATCATTTTTCTTAAAACACCTTTCATTTCAGTTTTTGTCTGTATAAAGCTTTATATTTCAAAAGTTAGAAGACCTAGATGCTGCAGATACCATATGTTACGAAATTTCCCTCTGTCAAATGTCCATTGTCCTCAGCCTCATTTTCATGGTTCAGCATCTGCTTAAAGAAAAACAATGTTTGTCATGTGAATTTCTTACATACTATGAGTAATAGGATAACTTTATTTGGTATATGGGTTCCTTGCAATGTCTACATTTCAGTCAGACAGGGTTCTTCTGACCTTGACCTCATTTTATGTTAAAGTTATGTGATCTGATCCATTTCTAAAATACTGGAAGCATTATGTCAATTATAGGTTGTGTATGTAATGATTGTAAGGGGTACATGTCAGTCTGGCAGGTTTCATCTGACCTTGATCTAATTTTCATGATTCACTGGTCAATGTTAAGTTTTTAGCTCACTGTTCCAAAGGAACTGTGAGCTTTTGCCATCACTTGGCGTCTGTTGTCGTCGTCCGTTGTCGTCGTCGTCGTCCGTCTGGTGTAAAATATTTCAAACATCTTCTCCTTTGAAACTACTGAACCAATTCCTACCAAACTTTAGCTAAATGATCCTTAGGGTATCTAAAATAAAGTTTGTGTTTTATTTTTTGTTTCGTCTAAAAACATGGCCGCCATGGCTAAAAATAGAACATAGGGGTAAAATGCAGTTTTTGGCTTCTATCTCAAAAACCAAAGCATTTAGAGCAAATCTGACATGGGGTAAAAGTGTTCATTAGGTCAAGTTCTATCAGCCTCGAAATTTTGAGATGAATCTGATAACCCATTGTTGGGTTGCTGCCACTAAATTGGTAATTTTAAGGAAATTTTGCAGTTTTTGGTTATTATTTTGAATATTATTAATGATAAAGATAAACTTAACAGCAAAAATGTTCAGCAAAGTAAGATCTACAAATAAGTTGATATGACCAAAATTGTCAATTGACCCCTTAAGGAGTTATTGCATTTTGAGGAAAATTTTTCACAATTTGTTTATCATGTTATCTTACTTTAAAAAATCTTCTCCTCTGAAACTATTAAACCAATTCCAACCAAACTTAAGCTGAATGATTCTGAGGGTATCTATAATAAAGTCCATGTTTTATTTTCTGTTTCGTCAAAAAACATGGCCGCCACCGCCATGGGTAAAATTGAACATAGGGGTAAAATGCAGTTATTAGCTCACCTGGCCCAAAGGGCCAAGTGAGCTTTTCTCATCACTTGGCGTCCGTCGTCCGTAAACTTTTACAAAAATCTTCTCCTCTGAAACTACTGGGCCAAATTTAACCAAACTTGGCCACAATCATCATTAGGGTATCTAGTTTAAAAAATGTGTCCGGTGACCAGGCCAACCAACCAAGATGGCCGCCATGGCTAAAAATAGAACATAGGGGTAAAATGTAGATTTTGGCTTATATCTATGAAACCAAAGCATTGAGAGCAAATCTGGCAATGGGTAAAAATGTTTATCAGGTCAAGGTCTATCTGCCCTGAAATTTTCAGATGAATTGGACTACCCGTTGTTAGGTTGCTGCCCCTGAATTAGTAATTTTAAGGAAATTTTGCCATATTTGGTTATTATCTTGAATATTATTATAGATAGAGATAAACTGTAAACAGCAATAATGTTCAGCAAAGTAAGTTCTACAAATAAGTCAACATGACCAAAATGGTCAGTTGACCCCTTAAGGAGTTATTGCCCTTTTATAGTCAATTTTTAACAATTTTTCGTAAATTTTTGTTATCTTTTACAAAAATCTTCTCTGAAACTACTAAGATGAATTTAACCAAAGTTGTAAACAATCATCATTAGGGTATGTAGTTTAAAAATTGTGTCTGATGACCCCGCCTGCGAACCAAGATGGCCGACATGGCTAATAATAGTACATAGGGTAAAATGCAGTTTTTTACTCATATATCTAAACCCAAAGCATTTCGAGCAAATCTTTCAAAAACAAAACTGTTCATTAGGTCAAGATCTATCTGCCCTTAAATTTTCAGACCATTCAGGCAACCCGTTGTTGGGTTGCTGCCCCTGAATTGGTAATTTTTAGAAATTTTTTCAGCTTTTGGTTATTATCTTGAATATTATTATAGATAGAGATAATCTGTAAACAGCAATAATGTACAGCAAAGTAAGACCTACAAATAAGTCAAGATGACCAAAATGGTCAATTGACCCCTTAAGGAGTTATTGCCCTTTATAATCAATTTTTAACAATTTTCATAAATTTTGTAAATTTTTACAAAATAATTTCCACTGAAACTACTGGGCCAAGTTCATTATAGATAGAGATAATTGTAA